AAGCGACCGAGACCGACGCTTGAGATCGTGACAACTCGAGACCTGGGGAACGTGAGCACACGAGAGGGGAGGCGATCGAACCACATAGAACGGACTTATATATTTATATAAGTGGAACATCGCAAAAGTGCCTGGCCCCCTCTCAAAAGGTTCATATCGATAAGTGGAAAACAGTACGGACATCCAGGAGGAGACGGGGAAGGTCAGCACTAAACAAAACGGTGTTAATCAAGTAGATGCGTACTGTGAACGGTGATTTGTAGCAAATATTAACAAACAACCGGAGGCAGCATGGTCCTTGCATAGCCCCAATCAATAGCTATATTGTGAGTAGCGTCAGCCACAAACAACCATCGTCCCTGACCTGCAGGATCCTGATCATCCATTCAGCTCACCGGCAAACAAAACGGTACAACTAAACTAACAGTACATTATGGTACTGTACCTTTTTTAATAGACCTATGTTCCTTGGAGGGGCACCCTTTCCAACCACCTTCTGCAATCCCAGATGCAGCTGCACTACAAACGGCCTCAGTGTTGCGATTTGCTTGTTTGGGGCGGGGCGTCAACCGCCTTACTGGTAAAACGGTGAGTGGATGTTTCTTGTGTCTGGAACATGTGCCTAAGAGTTTAGAAGAACAGGTTTTTCACTGCAAGAAAACCATGGTCTAAGAATGTTTGAGAGTACCCTCCTCTACTGTATATGGTCTTCAAGCTTCTCTTGCCCAGAAGCGATCGGCCAAAATCTCCGCCGCAGCAGGCTGGTCGGGGCCCGCAAAGTGGTGCACATGGCCCACCGGACCAATTGTGGTGATGTCTACCATCTACGAGTTTGGCAGCTCTGTCTGGCTCTGTCTCCTGTTTCTGTCGCGTGCTGATGGTTCCAAACGGTGTTGGCCAACCAGCACAAAGAAACCAAAAGAGTTGCCTTCTACCTCAAGGGTTGATCTGAAGACCAAGGCAATACCATCATACCATCCATTAAATGGTAGCTGTGTGTGTTTGGGGTGTGACAAAGGTCCGGCCACACGCGCACACACACACGTACATCCGGTGTCATCTCTCCACACTTCCCAGGTCTGGCGCCGGATTGAAAAAACCCTCGACATGTAGGGAATGTCGGTATGTGTAACACCTGCAGTGAAAAACCACTTGTATTGGTTCCCTTTCTCAACACAATTCCAGTCCCTAGGCCTCGTCGATACATCACATGTTGCATCCTGTTTCTGCCAGGTTCAAGCCAAAGCTGCGGCAGGTCTTCCTACATCAACCGAGCCCCTGCATTCTGAGGTTAAGCGCATTGTGACTTGTGTACAGTAGTGAATCCCAGAGCCACCCCCCCTGGAAATCTATTTGATACCTTGGGTCTATCCTAATACTTGTAACAGTGGACGATGATGGTTAGTAAAGGCCATTAAAGGCCTTATTCAAAAATAGTAATTCTTTGCTGACTGTTACAGGTAATAGGGCAGACCCAACTGATACCAATAAAAAAGCAACGTCTCCAGTTTTGCACATGCAGTGCCAATGGATGTACCAACTTCAAATGAACATGCCCCAAGGACACGAAAGCATGGATGGGAGCTGCCTCTGCAGGTCAAACCTACCGCAAGGACTATATAGTAGAAGCTCCCACAGTACAGAGATATAGAATCATCCTGGTCGGCTGCTTTTTGGATCAACACTCTCTCTCTCTGTCTCTCTGTCTCTCTCTCGGCAGCGTCTGGCTACAATGCAGCCGTCAGGGGTTGATACCAGTCAAGAGTCAACTCTAATCTGCCCCACAAATATCCCTAAAACCCTAAGCCACAAGCCATGTCCTTAAACAAATCCTCCAAAAAACAGAAAACAGTTAGAACACTTCTGCTCCTCCGTCAACTCAACCCGGTTCCTCCAAGCTCTTGGGGTCGGAATGCAGCTCCGACACGGACGACCTCGCCGCCAAAAGCTCCCCTCCAGTTGGAACAGGCGAATATGGCGAATGTGTTGCAGGGCCGGCCGGTGTGTTGCAGGGCCGTTTCTTTTCTTCGTGATAGTGGCAATGATTGTACTCATCATTCAAGTAGTTGTTTAATTTTTCGGGTTTGAGTGTTGTTCTGTAAAATAGGGATGCATTAGGCAAGTGCGCCACAACACTCTACAAAGATCAAGGCTGAAACTGCATATACATTGGCAAACTGCCTACTTTCTTGGTGCAATCTGCCATAGCTGTTGTGTGCTGCCCAATGTAGCTAATCTCAAAGATGATTAAACATCTTCATTCAGCTTCCCTCATGGAGTAACTCATGCTCAACTCGACGCTCCGGCGACCTGACCACGCTCCGGCGACCGCCATGCGCCCGTCGATCCAACGTGTCGGCGACGTCGGTGAGTCACTGGTCCCATGTATTCCAAGCCAGAACGATGGCTGACGGGTGCTTTGTAAGGAGGAAATGTATGATATCCTATGGTATCTATAGTGAGGGGTCATTCCCTCATTCACTAAGATCGACTCAGTCAGATTGTCAGTTGTGGTCTTTGGCCATCCAAGTTGCACATTCACATGCCGGCGCAAAGGTTGGCCAGGAGACGCCTGGAGGGAGCTGAGAATAACTCTGAGGGCCTGAGTGATTGCACAGGTCTGCGCATTCATGGAATAGCTATGAATATCCAAATGGATAGCCGTTTCCGATCCAGAGTCTGGGGGACTTTGTCATCGGCTTCTCCAAAGCAGTTGTAGATTCATTTAGGCACCCCCCCCAAAAGTTCCCACTTGATGCACACCTGTCACCTTGGAAACATGGCCATGGCCACTCTTCTTGCGCACCCTGATACCACCTTCAGACACCTGACAGCCTGCCTTGGTGGCCGCCACTGCCTGTAACGCCTCCACCCGGTGCGTGGCCGTCGTCTCCGCCGGAGCTGCACAAAGGGGGCAGCTGAGGGTGGACCTGGCGAATCGGCACCTCTCGGGCACCGAGCGTGGGGTCTGGCGTGGTGTCTGGTGTGACGGGGCAGACGGAGACGAAGCAAACGGGGCAACGTGTGAGGGGAGCAAGGGAAAAGCCAGAGAGGTCGGCCGGGAAAGGCAAGGAAGGGTAATTGGGACGAGAACTAAACGTTGATCAACTTGTCAGCTTGACATATTTTCGCGGTGGAGCCATGCCGGGTTGCACTCACAAAAGAAAGGGACAAAAAATCGTTGACGGTCGCACTCGGCTGCGACGACCAGGCAGCAAAGCAACAAACGCAGCAGCACACCAGCAAGCCGGCCAACCAACTGGTCGGAACCGCCGTTGGGGACCCAAACTTCAGCTGAACGTGTGGAGAGGGGCCTCCCTCTAATCGCTCATTCAGCTGAGAGTGAGCGATTAAATGGACCAGTACGGGCCCATGATCCAACATGCTGTGTTGTGAGACACCCCCAAGCATCATCAAACATGACCAATGAACATGTCAAACGTCAAGGCTTGCTCATCTTGAATCACCTTCAGCCTGGCCATTCTCCACACATTATGGTCGGCAGTCTGTAGAAATGCATCAAAAAAGTGCCCACATTCAGGAGCAGGTTGCCAAAAACATCTATGAACCAGCTTAAAAGTAAGTTGGACCAAAAGCCGCCTGAAGCTCCAAGCAGCCAACCTTCTCCATTCGCACACCACCGTCACCTCCTTTCGCTCTCCTCCCTTCACGTGACTCTGCAAGCACCACTCGGGTACCCGACCGGACGCCCGAGAGGACCAAGCAATCCAGCAGGTTGTGCCTCGAGGACGAGCCGAAGCGTCGGACGTTGGACGTGGATGACCTGGATGAAACCGGTGGTTCCGGGTGAAAGCCGCAATCCGGTATGACCCACCTGCAGGTGGTGAACTCACTCTTACCTGAAAACATACTGTAAATCTAGGAGTGTGACAGAAAGAAAGGTGGACTGACGATTTCGCCAGGTGATTGTAAAGCTGGCTTTTTCAAACAGATTGGGTCCCTCCATGTCCAATCGTCAGCAAAGGATAGCTGCGCGGCTGCTTTGCGGTTTCAGCTCGAAAAATCTTGGCCAGTGGGCTCAATCATCCCAAGAACATGAACATAGACTTTCATCTCCCAAAACCTCAATCCTATATATCGAGATTCGCTAGATCGGAACTCCGCAACAAATCGCGGATGGCCGGGCTACCGATGTTCGCACTTCACACCGTCGCTGCCGGTCTTTCCACCGACTTCTCCGGTGGCGTTGGTTGAAGACACGTCCGAAAAGAAGAACAACGGCTTCGCCCATTGACGGTTCGGCCTCCACCGGTGCGAATCCACCATGTGTCTTTAAGCCAAAGCATGCGCACTACGGTCCCGCATTCTGCGTCTTGCATGCTCCTCTTAGTTCGACCAATGCAGGACGTTGCAGGATCTCCAAATGTCCATCCACAGGTGGAGGATCTGTCAGCTCCGTACCCTTTAGGTAATTAGTAGCATCTGAAACATGTCCATGCCCCCCGCCTCCATCGGCCTCCCCCCAGAAGAGAACGCTCATTTTCGAGATCTATATTATAAGTGCCACCTCCGAATGAATGCACCAGTTTCTTGGAATCGTGAGTGGCAGAAAAAATGGGAAAACACCTATAGTTATAGCATAGGAAAATGCCCAAACAGAGCCAAACAACATGGCATTGAACATGATTGCACCTTCTGGAAACCCTCGATTCCTGCTTCCACTGCTCCATCGCCTGGAGGACGAGGTGCCTGTCCGCCACTGTTCCAGACCTGGGGCGGTGCGCGACTGGCCGGCCGGCCGAAGCCACGGAGTCATTTCTCCGCCAGGTCGACCGACCTGGAAGGTCTGTAGTTATATGCTGGGGACTATGCTGGGGTTACCGGGCTTTGAGAGGCCACAAATGGGACTGTAAATGCCAATCCAAGTCACGATTTGCGAGTTGGGGGTTCAAAACAGTGAGTTCCTGGATCTTATTGCTCACGCTCACGCTAGTGTGTTCAAAGTCACTATACGATTTGCCCACTGCACGCGCGCTTTTCTGGCCTGTGCTGCAGCGGTTGACTTTAAGAATTCCAACATGCTCGATCCATGAAGTCCATGTGGCATAATATACAATACTAATACATCAATAGGTTTGGGACACATCGTGTGGACCTACGGATGTTCGTTCCCACAGCTATGAGCCATGATAGCTGTTTCTCACGCAGCTGCTCCCCGTAGTTCGACTCCATCACCATGAAGTTGCGATGCGATTCGACGCTGGCGACGGTAGAAGAAGGCACCCAAGATGGCCAGGATGACTAGAAGAACACAAACCTGGGATTTGCAAACGGAGATTCTCTTCAGCAGAACCTTCCCCGGTTCCATGCAGGTTCAGTTGAGGGGGGAATATAAAATAGAAATAAAAGAAGAACGACTTCCGACTGACGACCCGTCAGGCCGTAAGATGCCGTACGGATGACCATGAACTCCTCTACGAACAAGCGGGTTTTCCACTGGTGTGTTCATCGGAGGGCCAACAGATCAATGCTGAGTCGAGAGACCACCCACCAAGGGCCGCTTGATGATGAAGGCTTAGGCTCAGGGGGTTGAGTGGGGTCTGGTTCTGGCCCATTGTCGATGGGGATCGGAGCCTTAGGGTAACGAATGTGGGAACTCATATCCACAGGAAGATGCAAGATCTTGGTCATGTACTTCTGCTCAAAGAATTTCATTGGGACAAAGAGAGGCAGTGAGTATTGCACAGTGGCCTCAATGGTCTTGGTCTCATTGGGAAGCTCGTCTACGTTGACCTGGATTTCCATGTAGTTCACAGCTTCTTCCAAGTCTTGCAAATAACTTCGACGCTTGGGGCTGGGTGGTTCCACTTTCCAGAGATACATGTCAAGTCGGAGGTCTCTCTGGGGGAGGCTCTCGCAATAAGCGCTCTGGAGTTTGGGCTCAAAGCGTGCCATTTCATAGACCATCAAAGCATCCGTTTGCCTTGGACGATCGCTCAACTCCCTCAGCCTTTCGTCGCTGACCAGCACACTGGAGCGATACTTGGACGGTCCAAGTTCACTCTTACGGCTTTTCCAATGCACTTGGTGCCGATTCTCACTGGAAGCCACCACCTCCATCTGCCAGTCATACTGGTTCTTCACAGTTTGAGTGCAAGTGTTGGCATCAACACCCTCCCCATGATAAGTCAAGGATCCGACCTCTATGGTTTTCCATGAATAGTATGATTGGTCTTTAACTCTCCAACTCACGTCTGCGGTCACTGAGATCCGGGAGGACCCCCCGCTATCCTTTGCCATCCACATGGGCAGCGGAAGCAGCACACAAGTGAAATTGAAAAGGCTGTTCTTGGTGAGGTGCGTTGCCCAAACTCCTTCGGTTGTTTCACTGTACGCCGTGTAAGTCACTTTGGCACACACGGGGGCGCTATACACAGCGATTTCCTCAAAGGCAGCGTCCATGTCCATGTCCTTGCAATCAATCATGAACTTCATCACGTTTGGTATGTCCCCCGGCGAAGAAGCGGTGTCGCCAGGAGCTTGGCAGGTCAATTTAAAGCTCTCTGTGGTGATCATGCAGCCTGTCTTCTTCGAACCAAGTTCAAGATCTGCACTCGTGGAGTCATGAGCAAATCTTAAAGCAACCTCTGCAGTTGCAAGGGGTGCTCCAATGCCAAAAAGACACCAGCACGTGATGAAGTGCGACATAAGTCAAGATTTGTCAAGCTAAAGCTAAAAAAACAACCCTGCCTACCCTCTTGCTCTTGATAGAATTGGGGAGCCCAATGGCGAAAGCGGATGGTTCTTGCAGCAGCTGGAAGAAGCAACTCATGAAACACTGAGCACTTGCATGTATGTATGCCTGGTGCCCGCTGGTGCCCAGGTTCTTCTTGCACCACGACCTCTCTACCTCTATGTTTCAGCCCCTACTTCCAGTTCAATCGCCCTTCTGTCCATCAAATGCCCGAACTAGCATTCCCTTGAGACGCAATCCAAGGCCACAGCATTCTGCATGCAAATTCCTTCCAAAGCAACACGTCGACCACGAGACCGGCTTTTCAAACAAGGAGGAGCCCCATGAAGGATCAACACACGGAGGCCCGCTGAGTCAAAGCTACAAGTTGAACATGGGTGTTTGTTGGAATCGGGAGAAGCTCCCCAAAAAAATGGGAAGAGCAACACCAATAATGGGTTGGGGGCTCTCACCATTCAAATACAAACTAATATGGATAGTGCCTCAGTTTGAAACGGCTACGCAAATCGATGTTGTGCAAAGAACGCCGTTCATTGGACATGGATTCGGTGTAATCACTCTATATTGATCTGCCTCAGGGATCTCTATGCCTTCACTCTTCCAAAACCACAAAATATAAGCATCAAATATATACTGGGGTAGAATTACAGTAATGGTTTACTGGTTTACGGTTTGCCATGGTCTTGTAGATTGGCTAGGTCGGCAAAGCAAGTTTCGTGCTGACTATGTTATGCTCAAGCATACAGGCAGCACACGGTTCGTTTTTTCAAATCAACCAGCACTTTTGACAATCTCTTGGACAGGGTTTTCACTTTGCATCCTTTAGACCTTTCTTCTCAAAATAATGCCGCCCAATAACATGAACATGTTCCACATACAGTAAACTCCCACATATCCAAACAAAACAGTACGTGTCCTTCTCCTGTCCTGTTGCTTTACGATTTCTTTACTTGTCTGTCCTTTTCCTGCCTTTTTGCCGTTCCGTGGGTTTCCCATGCTCCTCTTCTTCACCTTTTAAAGGAGTTGGATTCTTGCAAAATTGCCAAGCCTAGAGAAACAGCATTTTTGGTACATTTGCCGTCCCCGTGTTGGTAATGAACCTACCCAAGTCTCATTGAGGATGTCCTCTCCCTCTTCTTCTTGTACGCGAGTCATCCAGAACTTACCTTGCCCAAAACCCTCAACCTCAAATTCCTGAGTAATGCAATATACATACAGTATATATAATAGTGTATGCACACCATTTCCAAGAAGTTCTTTCAACATGTTTGTACATTTTTCAAGTCCAACTCTCAACAGCAACCCTTTGGGACGTCCATTCCTTTGGAGATCCCAACCTCCCTTTCATTCCCTTTCTTGAGATCCACCAGTAGCATTTAGTCCAAGTGTCCTGTGTTTTCTGGATGTCAGAGTGCAAATGCCCAACTCTTGCGACGTGGTTTGGCCCCAAGTTTTGCTGGACATCACTCCCTTTGATCTGAAACCACCTCCTACTGGGTTCTATCGTTCCGACAGGTTCTGCTTGCGGCGTCTGTCTCCGGCTGCTTCCGCCAGCAAGCTGTGTGTCGCGGTTACAGGCCCGTCCTCCCACAACCAGCGCAGCAGCAGGAGCCCGCCAGGTGCACCACGGGGTCGAAGCACACAGGGCATGGCCTATCCGCGGATCCGCGCGGCCGCGCCGTCGAACGGGTGATCTGGTCCGATGTTGGAGGAGTTTGGGGATTGGAAAACGATGATTGCTTAGTAGAAAAGAAGTCAAGCTGAAGTCAATGCTTATAACACAGACCGATGCCGCTGTGCTCGGAGCAGAGATCATGCTGGGCGAGTCAGATAATGCTTATACAAATCAACATTCATGTCATCATAGATCCCAGAATGAGGTCACACGGTTCATTGCCTTCATCCTTCAGTTTCAGATTCTCAGACCTCCAAGGACCTCCGCCATTCACTGGGCTCGGTGATCGCAAACAGCACCAACATGGTTACCACAGGCCGTCGAAAGGCAAGAAGGGGAGAAAGTTCGTGAGGTTGAAGATGAAGCGGGTGACTGACGACCGTTTTCGGGCTAAATTGGCGTCAATTCTCTTGGTGCTGGGCGTCCAATATATGTGAAAGAGCTTCTGCTCTTGGCCACTGTTGGCCACACCAAACAGTGTGTATCAAGACTCGAGATTCCGTCGATGGGTTTCAGACCAGTCATTGACTCCTGGACATCTGCTCGCGCCACTTTCCCAAGTACGTAGCTCAGAAAAGTTGCACTCCTTTGAAATCTTGCATTTTTTCCTGGACCAAGGGAAACCAGTGTCGCTCCGCGCATTAATCCCGTGGGTGCCGCCCTATACCCTCTAAAAGGACCGGTGCCTTCCTCTAGTAGTGCCGCACGAAGGGTGGGTCTGTCTGTCTCCTCTCTGGGGAACCGCAACACACCCGTGTCTGTCTGTCTAAGTGGGCCCAGCTAGGCTGCCCAGACCTCCCGGCAGCTTCTCTGAGCACCGGCGCACGGGAGGCGCTGACGACCTGTGGCGGGGAATGGCGGTCTGATTGCCACTAGTAGCAAGGCACCTTGCTACTGGTAGCTTCTAGCTACTAGTTACTATAGTAAGGCACTTCAGGAGCTCGCTCTGCTGCAACTCAGCCGTGATGGAAAAATATATATAGGAATCTGGATGCCCCCAAAAGCACCACCAGGAATGATGTCCACCCAACATGCGCTACTCACAGGACGATAATGTTGGGATTGATTGACCTCTGAAATTGCAGCTCTCTGCACTCTGCACATTCTAGGGTTTGGGCTTGGGTGTGTTTTAGTCATCCAAGCTCAGTCGCACTTTTGCTTTGAACTGGCCTCCTGCTTGGTGAACCATCCCCCTCGCTGAGGGAAAACAATGGATGTGGAATGAATGCCACTGGCTTGTCTTGCAGGTGTGGTGTCCGACATCAGCAGCAAGCAAGTTTTTGGATACACTTAGAGACAAACACTTAGAATTTAGGCTAAATGGCTATATAATGCAGTTAGAATATGAAAATTGGTACTGCCATTGCAGTACACTTCTCTAATCTTCTTTATATCAATTCTCTATCATTCTCGTGTTGCCGAAGCGGTGGCTCATGGCTTTCGATCAGCTCTCAAGGCCGGTTCCAGTCATACAGCACCCGGACCTGCACGAGACGGCGGGTAGGTGGAGACCAAAAACCGTGGAGACGTGCACGGGTTCGATTGGATGGGGTGGTTTTGCTACGTTCCCTGCAGGTCAACGAAGCGGAAACAAAACAACTGAAAATGATGGCTAGGAGAAGGGTGGACAAGCAAGGGGATGGTTTTTGTGATGCTGTGATCACAACCCAGGATGGTAAGTGGGAAGAGATGAAGCAAGAAACAGTAACTGCATGTTGAACATCTTGCATCAAAGCCCAGTCGCTTGAAGCCTGTGTTGGATATTTTCGTTTGTAAACCAAGCAGGTGGAGTGACATGTTGGCTAATGCATGCGATCATGTGGATCTTGGAGATGCTCAGGTGAGATGCTGAGACAAACTGAGGTCGTATATAGAAAAAAAACATATATATATCTATATATATATACTGATACTATTAAGGCAACTTGAACAAGAACATGAGGGGCCATCAAAAACACACCATCAGTTCCATGGAGCGGTTTGCGGTTTGGAAGGGCATATTCATGTCTGTCCCATGGCAGGTGCAGACAAGCAACAATGGATCCCGTTCCAGCCTGTGCCGTTCGTGAGGGTGCTTGCGTCGTTCGTGAGGTCTTACAGGACAAGTGGGCGACCGGCTACCAGCGCTGGTAGATCAGCTACTGTAACCTCCCACCTTCTCTCATTCTCACTCTCTCTCCGGAAATGTCGAAGCCATATGAAGCCATACAGTCTAAGCTTGGCAGCCACCACCCGGCCCCATATCACAACTTAATGTGGGCTTGTGGTGATGAGCAAACTACAAAACGATCTCATCCGGTAAGAGTCAATCCAACACGGAAATGAATGTGGACAGGGCTGAAGGGTGTCGAGTGTCCTAGTTCTTGCCTCTATGGTTTTGCTGACACGCCAGTTCCAAATCCTGCTCACAATACTGCCTCTAATTCCCAAAGCAACAACTCCGTACACTCCCTCCGCAGTCGCTGTGCAGAACGCCCGATTCTGCCCGTACCAGTCTTCACCCAAAACTAGACAAGGCCGACACAAGTTTCGCTGCTTGGAAATCACTATCCCCATCTGCCCCCCAAAAGAAACCCTTCTCTTCCTTCAAGTTCCATGACTAATCATTCCATATCATTCCACTCCCCTCGCTAAGCTCTCACACCCGTCTCACCGCGTATGCCAAACAAAACCTTCACCGTGCCATCCGTTGTGACCGTCCCGTTGGGGGCGCCTTCTCAACCAGGGCGGCATGCCAAACAAAGAGCTGCGCGTTGGTGCGAGCAGGGAGGCCCTGACCCCAAAACCTTCGGAGCCGGTTTGGCCGGAGCCGGAGCGCAACAGCGCAATTCGGACGTGATATGACGTGATGCTTCGGCACAGCAATGCTCTCTGCTGTCTGCTATACAAACGGTGCGTAAATATAACTATATATATAATATATATTGTTGGCCGTCTACTTCTATGAATTTTCTATGGGGCAACATGTTGAGTGGTTAGTTGTGGCATGCATCTCATCTCTCATGGTTTTTTGGGGCGAATGCTTGGTGCTTGAGGACTTGATGTGGGGCAGTGTCTTTGGCTGCCTTGCTGGGTTTGTGCGGGATTTGCTAGATCTCTTGCTGCAGGGTTCCTGGTGAAGGGACAGGCTCAGGCTCCCGGCTTGTAGAGGTATTTCATCAGGACGTTCCTCAGCTGCACCACCGGCCCTGAAAACAGGCAAAAAAAGTGACTCCGGACAAGTGCAACGTGCTACAGTGTTTGGATTTGATCGCTGGCATCGCTGACTCCGACTCCTGTGTCGCTGGCATCGCTGCAATATCCACTTCTGATCTATTGGTTGTTTCAGCACATCCTTGTGACCCCCAAGGGTTTGGAAGAATGCACTCATACTGATGCTGAAGTCGCTTCAGATCGTGGCTCAATTCGCACATGGTTGATTCCAAAGGAGTCTTGCAGAAAAAGTTGTTGGAGGATTTGCTGCTCAGAGCTCTTGTGCTCAAAAAACTTCAACCCGCAAAGGTTTAAGCCTGCATGGCCATGGGGTTCAACCCTGCATGGCCACGGGCGGTCACCCACCACAAAACTGAGATGCAGGGACCTGTCGGGGTGTTGTAAAAACCCCGTGTCTTTTGCAATACCTCGAAACCACGTTATCGTTTTGTCTACTCTTATCGTTTTCTCAGGTGAAAGCATCTTTGGTGGAAGATCACAAGTCAAAAGATGTCCTTTAGTGGTCTACATGGTCCTACTTCAGGATCCCCTAGCACTGCCTGTACCAAGGCGTACACCGTCTTTGGTGGTAAAGACATGGCAGCAGCAAAGATCAGATAAAGACAGCTAGACAAGACTACCACATCGTACACTTCTGCCCTTCAAAAGGTCTAACGAAAACAGTCAAATGGGCACTTGCCCACCAGGGCTGCTTTTTGCTACATGTCCTTATCGTTTTCGATATCGTTTTGTTATCGTTCCTGACACCTCTGCAGGTTGTCATTTTCGTGGTTCATGTAAACAGCTGCAGCATATGGATCAAACAGCCCATTCAGTTCCTAGTAGTAAGGCCAGGAGCCCCTAAGAGCTTCTTGTTCCTGGTAGCGATGTTGCTTTGTAGTAAGGCAAGGAGTCCCCAGTAGCTTTTTGTTATTGTTCTTAGTAGTAAGGCCAGGAGTCCCTAGCAGCTTCTTGTTCCTAGTAGTAAGGCCAGGAGCCCCTAGTAGCTTTTTGTTCTAAATGTGCAGGTATAATCATTGTTATCGTGTTTTTACTCTTATCGATTTCTGGGGTAGGATGCATTAGTAGTGTTAAGGTGCATGCCAATACTAAACCGCTGAGTGCGGGGTTGTTACAACAGCCCCCTGTGTTTTTGTTTCATGTGTTCCACTACAAAACCCATCAGTAGATCTGCCTCGAACATGTCGCATCAAACGGACACGCATCCCCAGCACACTACGAATACAAAGAATACTAGTTACGTTGAGGTCTTGAGATCTGTTCCAACTTTTTTGTCGGGGGGGCAGAACAGGTATAATTATGTATAACTATGCATTACTGGCAAGCCTTACAGGCAGAACAACTACACCTTCCCCATGCCTCAGCGCTTGCAAACCAGACTCTGCGCGTCTTCGTTCAGAAACGCTGTGGCCTCCTTGATCTCAGCCTGCGCTTGCAACACCGGCACCTGAAAAATCACAGAAACCCCGAGATGAAAGGACCAGATCACCACATGCCAGGACCACCTACAGTACCTACTATTAATTATTGTTATTATTATATAATATATATATATATATATGTGTGTGAATTATATAAGGACTAAACACCAACAAATCCAGAAAACCGGGGCCGAACACATCGGCCCTTGCCTAACTCGACTTGAAAAGTCAGGCACCTGGATGGCAACCGCCGGTCCGTCCAGCCCCAGTGGTCCGTCCTCGCGAAAGGCGGACATGGCGTAAAGCACGGTCTTGGCCGCCTGGTCCTTCAACTCGTCCGGAGCACCTGGAGCTTCCAGAGAGCCAAGGACGTCGGACCTGCTCTGAACACTCGCCCAAGCCCAAGCGTCCAATCCGAAGTCTTCGAAGTGGCACTCATGTTACTTGGGAACCGAAATGAAACCAGTCCGGGACGGTCTGGGGAGTTCTGACCTGTTCCGCGCCGTAGTGAATGTTAGGTGGATGCCAACGAGCGAAGCTCAAATGGTTGTTCGATGTCGGTGTCAACATGTGAACATCATGTCCAAATCAAATCTGACATCGGCCCAGGAATTGAACATCCAACGGCCAGGCCCCTTGAATCGAAGCTGAGCATGACAAAAAATAAAACTTCCAATATAAAAACTAGCAGCCTCCAATACAGCCACCAGCAGGACACGAATTCAATATGATTCAATGGGAGCTCCCAAGGGCATATTGCCAACCATCCTCTGTTGATTCGGAAGGTGAACCATCAACGTAGATTATCGATTCACAAATCATAATAAACCAGCTCTATACCAGCTCTTGGATTGTAAAACTTCATCCAATGGCGGGCTTGAAATATAATCAAGAGACTACACTCCCTGAAACAATGAGTCATGGAAGTGGATGGCATGGCCCGTTGGATGACCATGTTCCTCTACAAACAAGGGGTGTTTCGCTTCCTTCCATGATTGTTTCAGGGATTTTCACGGAGGGTGCATGATGAATCCATCGATCTCAGCTCGCACACTTAAGCCGAAATGATCCGAAATGTCCCAGCCGAATCACCATAGGGTGGCTCCCGCAAGGCTTCCGCCAAGGCTTCACGAGACTGGCGGCCCTTCAGCAGCTCCTGGTCACGTATTCAGAGAAAAAAACCCTAGGCAGGTGGTTTCTTCCCCTATCTGCAGAGATCTGCAGTCTCAAGAACTAGAGCTTCCCCATAGTTTTACCATGTTTTACCCAAACAAAAGTGTCATCTTCAGTTGCACCTTTCGAACATCTCATGGTTCCAAATCTCTAGACCTTACGAACCAACTTTCCATGAACCGCCACTGACTGCGGTGCTGACTGCGGCCGGTGTAGTCGTCCTCGACGGCCGTCTTGGTCCGTGCACACTGCGCGCGCCATTCGTCTTCGCTGATCTCTGTGGCCATGGCGGCCATGGCCAGGAAACAAATGAGCCCAAGACTGTGGCAGGAATGACGCCCGTGAAACGAATGGAAACCATGCAACCAATGGCCATGCAACAAATTGATCTGTCACTTCCAGCCTCTAGGGTCTATGCAAACTTGTGAGCCAGGAGGCCAGGAGACTGTGGATTACTGGCTGCCTCTTTCAACTGCATAGCAACATTGATCTTGCGACATCTTGCCACACGTAGGTAAGCTTGTTTGGATTTAGACATGTCCCTTGGATTAGTTCAATTCTGCTTGGCTGTTTCACTTGTCAGGTGATATAAATTATGTCAGCAAACTCGAGGATTGTTGATTCATCAGGGGTCCCTTTACCCAAGCGGCATCAATTAACAGCTGCTGGTCATCTGCTTGGTCATCGATTAGTTGGAACTTGGAACACCACTGGCAACCACTGATCTGCATGTGACCGTAGTGTCTCCGCAACACGACGAGGAGCCCAAACATTTACACAGGATGTCGCAGGTGGTCACAGGATGTCCAAGTGAGCAAGCACAGTCTCATGCCTCGTGCATCCGAGCAGTCCGAAAGGCTGAGTGAAACTGACATCAACGGCGCAACAGCTAATTTATGCAACAAACATATTTGGATTAAGAACAACAAACACATTTGGATTGTAAAATCGACCTCTTCGTTTGGGGGGGTCGGAATATCAGATAATCATCAACAGTCTACATGAGACTTGGTGGCGAAATGGGTCATGGACCTTTATCCTGTGCGACTGGGACCGATGAGTGGAAGTGGACGTGCCCCAGAAGCGATTCCGTTGGCGGGTTAGTGTCAGGAACCTGCGTCATCCGGCGTCTGGGCTTCCAACATGCTCAGGAGCTTGCACCTGCACATGAGGCAAGCAGCCACCTACACTCCCACTCACAAACATGGACGTGGAAAACCTCATAGAGCAAAATGTTCTTCGGGGCCTATGCCACCCACTTCCATGTTAGTGAGTCAGAGTGTACATGATTTGAATGGACTGTCCACTAGGGCTTGGGCGCCTAAATGGGAACCCTGATCATATGGCAAAATCCTCCTGCGAGTGATCTTGAAGTGTTCGATTCTGGAGAATGTGTGTGGGTGAATCGGTATCCGATCTTGCAAGTGCACAAGAAAACGTCCTGCGGTCTCCAAATAGATAGTGGCACGGTTCCAATACTTGCAGTGGGGATGCACTTAAGTCTTGAGTCTTGGGTTCTAATCTATTTGGGGACCACATAATAACATAGACGAGTAACATATAGTATTATATAGTATGGTTATATAACAACTACATACAACATCATACAACCACTACTATATAGTCACCAGTCTTAAGTCCTCCGGCGCGTGTGGCCAACCAACCCGCCGAAAAAACCGCCCACCTCGGTGAGGTCCAACGTCTCTAAGCCTCGGAAGTGGAAGATGTTCAAGTCTTCTCCGGTGTTTTTTTGAGCAAACAAGGTTCAATTTCACAGCCTTCAAGGTCACTTGAAGGTCATTTCATTTGCAAGATATGTTTACTCTAGAAACCCTCATACCGCCACAGCCGCAGCATGCCGCAGCCGCAGCGAAAACGTCTGAGAAACCGACGATGTCGCAGCTCGCTGAGCTCGCGTGCGAGCAAGGCCCTTTGCCAAAGGCGGGGGTCCTGGACTCGAGTCTTGAGCTAAATCGGTGGCTTTAAGGGTGAGGTTTGAGGGTGCATCTCGAAGCCGGGCCAAACCCCCTTTTGGTCAAGCCAAACCTGGACGAATGCGGAATCCATCTGAATCCCAAGAAAAATCCAGCACGCTGAAACCCTGCGCAGGGTTTTCTTTGAGGCAAACTGCGGAACTCAAAAATGATCAAACATGGACAAAGAGCATTGCGGCACAAACCGTCTTCCCATGCAGACTGTCCAGACTGTTCTTAGGGACGAATCGAGGGAGGCATGAAGGGGGACGAACTCCGACAAGCGGACCTCCAAGTTCATGAACTCCTATCCCGGCACCGTTGGACAACGGTGAATGTCACGTGGTGAATGCCCGTAGGACCTCCGGTACCGCACCCTGGGGCGGGCTTGTGCCGACTATGTCCAAGTGCGAGGAACCGCAAAGCAATGCACCGTGTGTACCATCGGTGGTCCGTCCCATAGACGGACGGCCCAGGGGCCCAGCACATCTTCGAAGACGAGTTCTGGCGAGGGCCATTCATTGGCTCTGCCGGTGCGCAATAAATAACAATATGGGTGCTCCTGGCGAAATAACGGGGTCCGTCTGGTATGCTGAACCAAAAGGAATCCACCACGTCCTATCTCAACGTCACAAGTGGGGACCCGACGTCGCTGGCTGGTCGCTGGTTGAACATGGTTGAACCATTCATCCCAGCTGATGACCCATCATCACTCGTCAGCGCCGTCTCACTGAGGGGCCCTGACATCATCAGGAAGCTGAAAGACCTGAGCTTGATGCCCATGGCCCATGGTCAAAGAAGGGCCACTCAATGGGTTCGAGCATGTTCGGAACATGGGATAGGATGGGATAAAGGTCCTGCAACAGCTAACCAGCACCATCATACCTCGGGTTGGCCCACTGGCTCGCTTTGTGTGCTAAGTGGCCTATCAAATCAACAACCTTCGTCGATCTTGAATCAGAGTATGTTAACGTGCCTGCAGGAGGTCTAGCTATCCAACTTGCAAAGCCTCGAAAACCTAGCAAAGCCTGGAAATGCCTCAAAGCGCAACAGGCTAGGTTGCCAAGCTCCTGGGTCCCGAGGCTCAACAATAAAAAGCTTTCTTGGTGGTTGTCCTTCCGTGCCTCAAGGTTGTTGGGACGTGAAAAACCTTCGTGTAAGGTAGGACAAGCATCTGCGAGACCTTCACTCGGGGTCACCTTTATCTTGAGGCCAACTCGTCCACGCGGGTGATGGTCTTCTCATGTCTTCTCCTTTCGTCTCCCAGTCCTGTCCCTGGGCGGTGGTGCTCCTCTCCGAGATCTCTGGTCTCAGTGCTGACATGAAACCAAACATGCCAAACGATGAAACCGGTGACCCTGGAGTTTCCCAAGTGTGTCACGCTCATGGTGTCACTACTCGACGCCTGGAATCCGCCCACGACCATCGACACAGGCTGACCATCGAACCGGCCCACAAAGACCATCCCTCACTCGACATCCAACCTATCAAGGACTCCAGCTCACCACTTCATGGGACAAGTGCCAACATCTCTCTCTCTCTCTCTCTCTTCAGTACTCCATCCTGTCGCACCACACACAGTGAACACCGGGGAGCCCTTGGGACTTGGGAGCATTTTGGAGGGTCTGGAGGGCAGGGAGAGGATGCATCACACCCAAGGATGCCTCGTTGGGAAACCCCACGCGGAGGAAAAGGAACAGGAGGTGCTTGCATGCAGATCGTGCCTCTTCGGAAGGAGGGCAAGCAAAGCAAGTGCAGCAACACTCCCAAAAAGCGCCATTGGAAGTAGATTGAAGTAGAGTTTGGTCTTGTAGTGATACAGTCATTCAAAGTGATCACTGACCAACAAACCTAGCCTCCAGTCATCATGATAGGGTTGTGATTGTCCCCTTGACCCGGTCTACCAGGTACCATGCTTCTGACATTAGCCGCCACAAACAGATCCGAATCAAACAGGGTCGTTGATCCCTATTGCCTGCCTGACGTGACCCCATGCGCACCCTTTCTTGGCTGACAGAGTTCACACAATGAACAAGTCACAGGAAACCCTCACATCTTGGCTATATTGGCGGCTATACCTATATATACATGATCTTACATACTAATGCCTGACACGCCTGTGGTTGCGTTCTCACAATAAAGCCACACATGAAATGGCATTCTACCCCTGCACCGTTCAAGGAAGAAAGAAATCGAGAGCTGCGTTCAGTGTGGGATCTCGTGGGCTTTAAAAGTATCACACACTGCATCAGACTTAATGTAGACTCAGACTCTTGATTCATAAACCTTCCCTTTGAAAAGGATGTTCAATTCAATTATGGGGGGTCTATTAATCAAGAGTCTACATTATGATAAATACGGAGTCAATAGAGCCTTTTGAACTTATGAAACCGGCATGGATGCACAAGGCTTGTGTTGGCGTTCATAGAGTTGAAGAAACGGAGAGGTACACGGTACACCCGAATGACTGCGGTGGATTGTCGACTGTGGGCTCTTTCGGGGTGAGGATCACACAGGGCCCACAGATGGCGAGATCTTGCGACTGCAACCTGTGTAGCCCATGTCACCTGCGTCACCTGCTTGGAGCCTCATGTCACCATCTTCTTCTTTGCCACTCTCCTTGTCAATATTCACTCCGCTGCGACTGGCCCCTCGGTGCCTTCACGAAGTCCAAGCAGGTGCACAGCACCCGCGCTCCCACGCGCACGTCGTAGACGTTGCCCGTGTGGCCCACCACCTCTAGGGCGTTGCCCGGGGTGCCCGAGCGATCGCGGACGAACGAAGCAAACGAGAGGAGAGAGATGGAACGTCAAGAGTAAAGAATCAGGAGCCATGGGACCGCGTGCTGCCAAGGTGTGGTGTTTTTGGGTTGGGGAGGGGAGAGTGGGCACATGGGAACCGGTACCCTAGCCCTTTTTGAAGCAACCACTTGAAATGCTGGATGTAGTCGACGTAGTATATGATTTCATCAGTGGTTTGATTTCCATGTCGAAACGGCCCTAACAAGTGGTCCGGTGGCTGCAGGGTGAGGGCTTCAACTTGCATAAAAGCAACAAAGCCCTTGGGAGAACTGACGGGCACAGCGCCATGGAACAACTGAGACGAGCACAGCCGCTGCAATCTCTCCGCGCTCCACCACCTGCCCCACATGCGATGTGGCTTGCATGGCAAAAATACGGCAGGAAAAGAACTGTTCCCTCCCTCTCTAGTCTATACATCATATGTGTGTGTGCTGCCTATCCAGTGGTTCTTCCATTTCATTAACGTAATCATGCCCAAAACCTAAACTTTCTTCGTTTTCTGGGCCTTGTCCGTTTCTGCTTTGCAGTGGAACCTGTTGGTCCGTTTCAGATCGGGCCGTGGACCCGGTGTAAACTGAGCGTGTCCTCTCCGGCCCCAAGG